GCAGATATAACCTGCACCTAGAGGAGCGCTAAATGCTAGACAGAGCTACATTCATTGAGTTAACGTAGCTGAAGAGGAGAATAAAGGGAGCAGAAAAGGATGCTTGGGGAAAGGGGGCGGGGGCGAATAAAAAGGAAGGGTAGGCGTTGGTGTAGGCAGCAGTCCTAAAAAGACGAAAAATAAATAAATTAACCAGTCCATGTAGACGACTGGGACTGCCGTAAGGAACTGCGTGATGGCATCGGCAGACGCATGAAGTCTGGAACGTCTTTAACATGCAGCACGTTAGTAATAGGCGATAATAGCTTCCGCATCGAATGACCTTATTCACGGACAGGCGAGTATACTGAGAAAGGTGAACAGAGGCCGAGATGTACTTGTGCCAAAAAGGTAGCGCAATAAACTGAAAGCGTACAGATTGCAGTAACACAACTCAACATAAAATTATCCCTCAAAAACAAACTTAGCCAATGAGAGCATTCGTAAAACGCGTCATATCTGGGAAAACTTATGGTGGATGCTGTCGGCTGCCCTCTTACCACCAGCAATCCGAAAAGATGGTCCATCATCTTCAAGGCGAGTGTTTCATGTGATTGACTTTGCGATAGAAATGTAGCTAGTAGCCTACCGGCAAGTATGACGTGGGTTTAAGAGAGTGATATCACTGCTCAGCAGAAATTGCCGATGTATTGGTATTTTCTGTTCCGACTCACTTTCCGTCAGTAAGCAGCTCTATCCGAAGCATGAGGTGAGCAGATTCGCGACTTGGATTCAGCAATTTCGTACTATTTATCGTTCCATTGAGCAATGCAGTCTACCACAGATGACGTTGGACATCAGAGACCTAGCTGTGGAGCGTCTGTTATAATGCTCAAGGAGGAAGGCAGCGGCAAGTGCTCAGACTTATACGAGCCAGGGTTCTTGTTTCCCCTACGGATAGAACTAGGCTCTTGAACCACCGAAGTAGTATATTTCTCATGTGAGAGCCCATCTGGACTGTTTGACATTTGAATTCCCTTCCCAGTTTTTCTGAAGAGCACTCTGAGACTGAACGTGCCATGAAACCAGGTTCCCGGTACTATCGGTATTGCTGTAGACAACATATGATTTCTGATGCCAAAAATACGACTGGTTAAATAAATGCAGGTACAAAGAGATAAGGCGGAAGAGACTGCTTCAGTTCGGCTTGTCTATTTCCTTTCGTGGCTTCAAAATAAACAAAGGGCGAATACATGACACAGAAAGCACCAGGCACGACAGCGAGAGCATTAACTCCTCCAAAATAAATGAAAAACAAAAATGAAACATAACAAACGAATAATGTGGACTAAAATAAACTCAAACTATAGTGTGGCATACTTAAGAGTTGCCCCATCTGCAAAAAAACCAGAAAAAAGGTAGGTTCAGAAAAAGGCATGTACATGGTAGGATTGGCAAGGACTACTAATTGAGAGCAACTTTTTATTCATGTGTTTAGCGATGATCGTAGATTATTTTAGCATTGCCAGATCAAGTACCGCTTTAGGCTTCCATCTTCTTTGGGTGTTATATTTAGTTGGTAATTTCGACGGCAAAATGACAGTTTAAATGAGCTGATAATTAAAAATGGTGAGAGTTATTTTGCAAAACGGGCAGCATCTGTGAGTAGGGCCAACATTTGTCCACATGAATTAGAAAGAGGCTGGGAAGAGGCCTTAGTCTGCTAGTTTTTAATAAGGGCGCCATGTTATGCTTCTCTGTGAGTCTACTAATCTGCGAAGGCAAATCCCATGTAAACGATTTCAACCCCCGACTGAAAAGGTTTGTCTGAAAGCCTTTGCTCCAAGTTCGTGCATCAGCTCCTGAAAAAAGAGCGAAAGTCAAACTGGTTTTCTCTGAACCCAAATTACTTTAATTGACCACACGGCCCAGAGAGAGGAAGAGAACACGTTTGCTCGTGCATATAACACTAGTTCAATACGTTACAATCACTATGCACGATGTATGCTCCGATTTAAGCAAGATATTTCCTCTTCACTGTTCCCGAGATTATTCTGAGCACTATTTCGTGTTTAAGCAGATTAATTGTCAGGCTTTCGAACCCCTAGCTGACAAAATGCAAGAACGACCCGAGGACCCGAGGAGGGGACATGTTCAAGGTGACATGCTAGAGGCAGAAGTGTCCAAATTATTTGCATAATCCCATGTAAATTTAGTCGCATAAAATGGATTCGCTACAGACAATCCTGCCTTAAGGCACCTGGAGGGTGCAGGGCAGATATAATGCGACCAGGCACTCTACATAGGCACAGACGCGTTAGGCTTTTGGGGCGTTGTTTAGCAACCAGATAGCCTGGGAGAGAGGATGATGGCTAGTATGGAAAACTGCGTAGGCATCTGGACACCGCGGGCACATTCCTCGCAGGTTCGTCCCTCGGGAGAATTTTGGTGCCGCCAGGCGGGTTACCAAGCGAATGTGTTTTGTGTGCGATTA